GATACATTCCTTGTTTGGTGGATATGCATCAGGATAATTTGGGGAAGCAAAATGACCTCCATTGCTAGTTCGAACCCAAATGCCACATTGTGTTGCAGGCATGTGTTTGATTCCAATGTTTTGTCCATCTTAAGGAAAGATAGCATTTCAAAAATTAATGACAGAAAAACAACACTCTTCTCAACAATTTCCCTTAATAATTATCCATTCTATACTACAGAGGTACTTTTATAAGAATCTCTGCCAAATTTAGCATGACAAATTCAATACAGTAAAGAAAAAGAAAGATAAGAGACAAATTTGCCATGCAAAAGAATGGGAAAATAAAATGCTCAGATTTTATAAATGCAAACCATGCTGGAAAATCTGGTAAGTCTGTTAAATTCAGACATAAAAATGTAAGAATCCTTCTAGAAACAAGTGGATCCTTTGCCATGAAACCAGAAGAACTGTGTAGGCAGCTACCATTACTGATCATTGTGATCAACATTCCATAGAAGAATTTTGATCAAAGGGGGGAAATACAAACCAGAATTCCACATATAATGGACACCAGATTTTCTGGAGCCAATGGGGCTAGATGAACCTTTGAAACAACTGCCCTGAGAAAATCTTTAAAATTTCAACCAAAAACATCTCCTGAGGTCTTCTTATAACCAAACAATAGTTTAACTAGTAAAAAATGGCAAGCATGATCTTTTAAGAACTATCTACATGAGATCAAAGTGATTACCATCCAGGGCAGTGAGTTTACATTAACAGGGGAGAAGCAACTCAGAATAGGAGGGTGGGAATGGGTGCATAACTCGAAGAATATAATCAGTGTTGCTGAATTATACATGTAGAAATGGTTGAACTGGTATACTTTTTGCTATGTATTATCTTAACAACAAAATAAAATTTAAAAAGAAATACAAGAATCTTAGTTTATTTCTGATACAGTACATCCATCTATATTTAGTTTAATAAAAATTTCACGTAAGATTCAAGGGTTACAGGGAGTATCTTAATTTAAAAATACAGATTAAAAACATACATTTAGCTCTGCTTCCTCCTGAAATCTCAGTTAAACAGCACTAAAGGTTTTTTTTTTTTTTTTAAAGCATAAACCCTAAGTACAAAGATACAATAGTCACAATAGGCAAAGAGGAAATGAGGACTATTTGAATTAGCTTTTTCAAAAACAATGATTAAAAGTGTATTTAGAATTTTATTTCCCTCTTCCTAAGGTTATTTCTTTGGAGGAGGTAAAACAGAGGGCTTTTAAATTAGGGAACACCAGGCACCATTGAGGTTAAAAATACCAACCTGAAAACAAGGAAATCAAGTGAATATGAACATAATGAATAATACTCCCTCCAACCTTCTTCCTCTACTGAGATCCCCAAAGGCTGGCAAATCAGATGTAGAACCTCTAAGCAGATAAGACTCTTCTCTGGGGAATCTAATCATCCCAAAGAAAAGACTCATAAATATGAGCATATGCCCAAGGATAACCAGACATTTGAGGAAAGTATCTAATGACAATCAGAAAAAAGGCAACAAGAAAAACAGACAGTGTAAAAAAATTTTAAAAACAAAGCAAAAAATCCAGTTAAACAATATAAAACTATAATCATATTGGTGAGAGAGAAAGACAGTATATCCATAAAATAAGAACAAGCACATTAAAAACCACAATATTAAGGAAACAAAAGAAAGCTCCTAAAAACAGAAGAACTAAAGAGCTTAGTAGAAAGTTGAGAGCAGTGGTAGGCAAACAATGCCCATGGGCATTCCATCCAGCTGGATGGGAATATAGCCACGCCCACTCGTTTGTACAGTAGATGACCCCTTTCACACTATCATTGCAGAGCC